CCTGGTTAGAAACGTACTAGCTGGGTAAGTAGCAGTGCAGGTAGTTCTTAATACTCAATTCTAGTTCCAGAAGAAAAGGTTTAAGACGTGAAAACATGTATTTTACAGGTGCATACAACATTACAGTACAGCATTGCAAATTATTACTCTAGAACATTTTACAGCAACTCAATTTTAGAAGTTGAACATGGATTTTTTCTTTATGCTTAAAGGGCTCAGAAATGCAAAAAAAATATAATAAGACTTTCTACTTTAAGAGCTAAAGAAATAGCTCTCATGGTCATGATAAACAGGGATTATTTTATTTATTTTTGGAGAGAAAAGGGTGTGCTGGTCTCTTTAGGATTTCTCTAAAATGTGAGATTCCTGTCTGACTCACCAACTGTTTTTATCCCCCTCCTGACTATGAAACACACCCTATTTCTTCTCACTGATGTATCATTCTGTTCTAGTTGCCTGTTAGCATGTATGAAAACAAAACTCATTTACTATTCTAGAGCTTGGGCTGGTATGCGAGGAACCAGCAGCAGACAAAGCATTCAGCAGCCCCACAGGTTTTAAAGAAAGCTACATTAATGCCGAACTTCTTGTTGCCAATAAGCCCCTGGTGTAAGAAATAGCAGTTGAAGTTTGAGGTATTATGGAGGTACTGGGTTGGGTACACAATAAAAAGCTGTGGGCTCACTTTCAAACTGCAAAACTCCTCTTTTGGTGTTTTTGTGAAGCTTTCTCAAAGACACTCTAGCTGCTTTTAGACTGAGATTGCCACCCAAACCTACTTCGGCAGAACTGCCAAGCAGAAAACCACGGTGACTGGAAACATATTCATTAACTGCTCAATTAATTCACCTCTGTTGTAGCCTTCCGAATCTCTGTCTTCCAGAATAAATTACTGCTGCCATTTCCTTCATTTCTTGCTACTGGAGAACCTCAGGCACAAGATGGGATTTCACTTCTGGTACAGAGCCTAGCTCTTGCCAGGTATATTTAGTACAACTTCTTGGCCTCAGGAAGTGGCAGCAGCTCTGCAGGCATGGCATTGCCAAACCTGATGGACAAAGCAGATCAGACTTGTTTTCTTCTGTTCTCTGGCAGTTCTTGGAGTGAACCCAGCAGGATTTCAGAAAGCCCTAACCAGCATGTTTTTTCCTAATAATAAGGTCAATGTCAAATATGCTGCAGCTAAACTTACTCTTGAATTCATTTGCTTGACTGAATTTCTGTTCCACTATGTACTTGACCCATCTTCGCTAGAAGAAATTCAACAATACTGGTCCTCAGGGGCAATTTCTGATCATATGAGGATCAAGTTGTCTTGGACTGTATTATGCTCTCACATTGGCGATGTGCCCTTTTTGTCCTTGAGACATGACACTCAAGTTTACACCCTTCTGGTTTCTGCCCGGGAATATAGTCTTTTTCCAGGATTCAAGGTGTCAGAAGTTGCAGTATGGTATGGCAACTAGAAGTATATAGATTACCAGAGCTATGGCAGAGGAAATTAGTCCCTCTCTCCTACATCCAGGTTTCTTATGTGACTCACATTAACACAAAATTAAACTTAAACTGTTCTGATAGATTCGTGGCAGCCAACCCTTGGGATGTACAAACTGGAACAAGGACAAATCTTCTGAAGGTCAAAAGGCATTTCTGGCAGCATGGAGGTATACCACTCCATAGAGTCCTTCCCTCATCCACTAATGGGTATATCTCTGGCAACACCTAATGCATTGCCGGCAATTAGTACTGTTCATAGTAGTCCCAGCTCAGCATTGGCCTCTACTGCTAGAGTATGTTATGGAAAGAAAAGTGACCTGAGGTGTTATATAGCTTAAGATTTTATAAGTGAAAAGGATGCCATCTTATACATAAAGACTGAAGAGCACATTACATCTATCAGTTAATTTAGTCTTGGATCAAAAATGCCTTAGCAAGAACTTGCTTCTCTCACAAACCAAAACCCATTTCAGCTATTTCTTAAAATTACCTCACAATTTACATCAGCAGACAGCAGGCACAACAAGCACTGCTTGTCCTAAGAAGGAATGAGCTAAACCCTAGAGCCTGTTTTCTGACCATGCCCTAAACCCTATACTGCCTTCTTCCTTCCCCCCACCCTCCTCCCAATTAATCCATAAACTTTTTATCAACCTTTTTTCTATAAAATAGGACACACATTATAAAGAAAAAAAAAATAGAAAGCAAACTTTCTGCTCTATTATCAGTATCCTTGCCTTCTAGGGCACTCAGTAGCAATATTACAAAGGTTTTGAACCCCCTCCTGTTTTCTAAGGCTTAGAAAAAGAGCAAGAAAGCACCTCTTACTTTCTAATTTATAACCCACCAGCTTTTCATTAATAATCTAATGAGAATTAGTCAAGATCATCCTGCTTCTGCTGTGAGTCCACCTGCAGTGGGCCAAACCCTTGCTCTGGCCCTCAAGGGCTGATTTTGGGGGGCTAGAGGCCCCTAATAACCCTCACCTGCCCCCTCTCATTACCCAGGGCCACCCCGTGCTGGATTTCACCTCACACCAGTGCTGCTCTAGGGGCCTTTCCCCAAAAGTGGCTCAGCCCTGCATGGGTGAGCCCTGGAGAAAGATGCTGCTGCCTCACACACCTGCCCTGTTGGGGTTGGCAGCAGCCTGTGAAAAGTTAACTACTGAGGGAGATTAATTGCCCCTCCAGAAGTAGTTAATCATTTCTCTGGGGGCTGTGAGGAGAGGGGACAAGGCAGGAGGTAGAGGTTCCAGACTGTGGCTGGAGGACAAGCTGAGTGGAACTGGAGGTAAGAGGTTAATGAATTATTGTTGTTATTATTATTTATGTTGGTAAAGGATATCTGCTGTTTTGGGGGCTACAACGGTACAGTGTGTGGTTCCTTTGGTATTTTGGTTGAGGGCTGGAGGCTATGGCCAGGTCCCTCAGGGTGTGAGGCTCTGCCCAGAGTCACGCAACATGGCTGCCGTGCTGTCCCGCCCCTCTGAGGAGGAAGGTGATGGGTCCAGCATGGCTCCTTAGGGCTGGAGCACTGTGGGAAGGGCTCAGGCCTGCAATTCCCCTCTTGTCCCCCTTCACAGGGTGGCCCTTTGTCTGTGAGGTACCTTATGTGGAAACTAAATGTTACTATCAGCTCAAATCTTGTGTTACTGCAGGTTTTTATCTTGGAGCGAATTGTCTACCTCATGGCTGAATTTTTTTTTTTTTTTTCCCCATTATTATTTTTTAAATGAGTCCTTTTTCCTGTGTAACAGGATGTAGATATGCTTTTGTTCCACTCAGTCACCACCTACTTCTGGTTGATCTGGAAACTCACTCAGCTGTGTGACCCCAGTTTATGGGGTTTAAGGCATTGTCCAAATCCCACTGCTCCCATATGGGCTGTGTGGTGTGCAATGGTACTGCTGGTGTGGCCCTCTGCAGGCTGTGCCTTGTATAGACCCCACAACCTTCAGAAAATTACAGGGTGCTTCCCTTGAGGCTGGGATTTACGCTTTAGGGAAAGCTAAGACTTTGAAGGAGCTATGGGTCACTATCAGTCACTTACTTATGTTTTTTAATCCTAAAGATCTGTACGATTTTTTTCTTCAGCCATCTGGAAAAAAGAAAAGAAAGCTCTTAATGAAAAAAGGGATGGAAAAAAAATTAATGTCTATGTGATGAACCTTTTGAAGTTATATAGAGTGTTATAACTGCTAACAGTAATTCCTGCTGAGTTTGGTTTTAATTGTGATCTGTTTTGAGTATTAATTGATCCTCAGGTATGACTAAGGTACTGGAGCAAAGTGTTGTATATGAGGGCCTCGAGGTAAAAGACAGTGTTTTCCTTTGGTTCTTGTCTAGTCCATAAGTGAAAGACGTGAGCTGCAAACAGTAGACTAGCAGCAGTTTTGGAAGCTATCAAACCACGTTATTCACTGCAGGAAGCTCCTGCTGATGCTGAGGAACTCAAAGTGTTTGGCAGCTTCTTTGAATGCATATCCCTTCCCATCTGGCTACCTGCCTTCTGCTCCCCATGTCTCTGCTCATCTTCACCGGTTCAGTAGTCGCCTGTGGTGGGGCAGAGCAGAGCATCGTGGCAGACTGCTCTGCCAGATGAGCAAGTAAGGGAAAAGTGGCAGTCAACAGAGATGAGACTTGAGAGCCTGCTGAAGATGAGGAAAGGGGACTGCTAAATAACCCTGGTGACTGCAAGAAAACAAGTCAAAAAAGAATAGGATTGTTGGGGAGTGGCAGGAGAGGTGGAGCTGGAAATGCAGAGTGTGTGGGGAATTTGTTCTCAATCTTTGGTCTATCTGCCTGGTGCTACTTGCTTGGTTGCACCACAACCAATCCACAAAAAGCAGGTTCTTGAAACACCAGGTCCAGACAAGAAAAGTTTTTTGTCATTGAAGGTTATGCACCTTAGAAACTTTGTCCTAGATTCAAGTTCATTGAATCAAAAGCCAGTTCTGCAATTACCTGAACAGTTAATAAAAATCTATTGCCTTATGATGGATTTTTTCTGCAGGCTAGAATTGATGTATTCATTGTGATTTGTGAGATTGAGGGGAAAACAGAAAATATAATCTGTATTTCTGCTGCACTGAAAAAATTCACTGTGTTCTTCTGAGGCTTGGAAGTAACTAAAACTGCAGGTTTTTTTTTGTTGTTTTTTTTTTTTTTGATTTCTTGAAAATAAAATACACCTTATTAACATTTTAATAAAGAGAATGTCTTTGCAGCGGTGCTCTGAGTTGCTCTTATTTTTCTCTGTGCAATTTGATTCTCTAAAAGGGAAAATACTATTGAGATCTGTAAGGCGTGATTTGTTAGACTGAAACTAAGCACACATACACCAAAGCAAAATGCTTTCTAAAGGTGCTGTGTTTGTGAGAGGTGCTTGCCCAATATGTGTGATGCAAAATGGGGATGCTTTGTGAAGAAATCATCCTTGTAAAGCCATTGGTTCTGGTCATCAGACTCTATCCAATGCTTTAGTGATGATGCTGCTGATCTATTTGGGAAGTTGGCTGGCTCTCAAGGCAGAGTCTCTTCTCAAAGGCTGTTTCACAGTGAAAATATGCTCAGTGCAGCCGAGTGCATGAATGAAAAAGCCTCTGGTACCTTCTAGTCTGGCAAAATGCAGCACAAAACTCAACTTACTCTGTCTTTTCTGCTGTCCCAGGTAAGAAATGTGTATTTTTTTCCACTTGCTTTCTTTCATATTCCTTCTCTTGTGCATTTGGATTTGGAAGTATTTGTAATTCAGGTCTGATTTCTGAGTAATTATACATTGCTTGAATTACTGTTGAAAGATGCAAGATCTCTGCTGCAAGCCAGTTGCTAGGAATGTAGAATCTCATAGTTCCCTGATTTACAATTACAACAAATTTGCTGTCTGATATATAGCATTTTTTTGTTTCCTTTCGGGGGGGAGGGTGGGGAGGAATCTTTCAAGTGTCTCAGTAGCAGCTGCAGCAGCAATATTTTCTGTCATATCAAATGCTGCAACTTTGATTTGCTTTTTTCCTCTGTGGCTTTTGCCGGGTAGTAGGCATATAGGCTGTTATAGGCAGCTCACATTATTTATTGCTTTTTAAAAACGGGAGGGGGGAATGCGGAGGAAAAATAAAATCAGACCTTGCAAAAGGCTCCCTTCTCCGTACTCTCTCCTGATAGATGTGTAATTCTCGGTTAGTGACTTGCTATGTAGCCTTTCTCTTATTAAATGTAATAGATCCCCCTCTGCCAGAAAGCAGAGGAAAAAACACCCAGCCTTGAAAACACGGAGCTGCTAAAGCCCTGCTGCTGCTGTCTGTCAAAGCAAGGGGACTCGCTGGGCTTTGACTTCGCTATACCTTCTGTTTGCTCCCTTTTCCTCTTGCTGCTGTTTCAAGGTTTACTTTTTAGAAGCTCTGGGGAGGTTTGAGAATCCTTTGTTGTCCAGCACAAATGCATCTTTCTTTCTTTTGTCTTAGGAGCTTTGAAAACTCTTGCATTTAGTGGCGGTAGCACTGGCATCCTGTGCGCTGAGTAGAGATAAAAGTTAATTCCTTTTTGACTTGTGATTGAGTGGTTTTGTTAACCCTTAGGGGGTTGGTAGGTTTTAGAGCCAAACTAGTGCTTGGGACACTGAGTCTGTGCACTTGTGTTTGTGTGACTGTAATCTCTGGAAAGAATTTAGTTTCATTTTCCAAATAGGAGGGTAAGGAAAATGGTGAGGGCTGACCGTTGGGAGAGCTTTACTGCTGACAGGAGACACACCAAGAGTGTAGGCAGCAGTCATGTGAACTAACACGTACGTGCTGTGGGTCAAGGCTGGGATATTCGGGTCCTGGCTGAATCTGATAAAGGGGAGAAGCCTTAATGGGGTGGCTGAAGTTGCAGGACAGGAGACTTGGTGGCTAGGGACTTGTGAGCAAGCACACAGGCATTTGGGAGGGTTCAGGACAACTTCCTCCTTTAGAGAAATATAATAAATGAAAGCTACTGATCTGGGCCATAGGCATGGTGCCTGCAAGCACTGACAAAGGGTGTGATTGAGGTGCAGGGGATGTATATGGTGTCCCTTGCAGGTGTCCCCAGCAGCTGGGGCTGTGTGGGTATGCAGGGGGCTCCCCAGCAGGCAGCTCGCCAGCCCTGCTGTCTGGCTCCAGGCAGGGCAGAGTGCCTCTTGGACAGGCTGGGGTGTCCACAGGGCTTCTGCAGCAGAGAAGTTGTCAAAGTGGGCTGAGATCCAGCCTGGGCTGGCACAGCTGCCAGTGGGAGGCAATGCTCAGGGAGCTGGGGGGGGAGCGGGTAGAGGCAACAGGCGGATAGACTGAGCTGGTGCCCCTGGGCTCAAGACCTGCCATCTGATGAACTGCAGTTTGCTTGGCATTCTCTGTGACTCCAGTCCCTTTTCTTTTGCCCATTTTCTGTAGCAGACTTCTAAGGCCTGTTAAACCTCATAGCAGGATCACCCCTACCCCACCTGATTCTGGAAACAGCATAACTGTGTGCTTCATTGACAACTTTTAGCAATACTTCAGCATTTCTTCTCTTCCCAGGCTGAGGCAAGTCCGAACACACAGCAGGGATGAGCTTGTGGTACTTTGGCATAGCTCTGCATTTCTGTTTAAACGGCACCCCACTTCTTTACTAGCATACATAACTTTATCTAGCAACGTCTGTGTCTGGTGATTTAACACACCTCCAGGATTACTTTATGTACTGTGTCTAAGAGTAAATGAATTAGAGTTGTAATAAGCAAGCATTCATACATCCGTCTTCAGGAGTGAGGATGTTGAGTATTGACAGGTTAAAGTATGAACTGAAGTTGATGGCATTCTAGGGAATGAAAAAGGGGAATTACTGAAACGCTGCTCAGCTTTTCTCTTTGACACACCACATGCACAACTTTCATGTGACAGGAAAAGTAAACAGAAGAATGTGAGAAACAACATATTAAACAAATGCAGCCATCTGGCTGTGTAGTGGTTGTAACACATTTTGGGATTTTTCATGAGTTTTCTTTTTTTTTTTTTTTCCTCCTCTCTCAGCAGTAGCAATAATGCCTCCTATAATACAATGCTAGTGAAACCAGCAAAGCTCAATTTTGATAAAATGATTTCTAAGCAGTAGCAATCTAGTAATGTAATACTTTCGGTGGAAGTAGAGGATAGGAAGAACTTCATTTCAAAGTAATGATAGCAAAGTTTAGAGTATAGAAAAAGTCTCAAATTGTTGAGACTGAGAAAATGAACTGAAATAAATGAAAGGTATTATAATTGAAAGATCATTTATAAAAGTGGTAACTTCTAGTTTGTGTGTTCTTAGTCTACATTTAATTCAACTGAATTTATTAAAATATAGGAAAAAAACTTTCGAAGCATTAAAAGGATGAGGATATTAATGGGGAATCACTTTTTTGTTCAAACATTTAGTGGGCTGCTTTGTTGATTAAAAGTTGTACTAAACAGGTGGGCGATAAATGTTTTCTTTTTTTCCTTTTGCAAAGACCTAGTCTACACTACTACCATTTATCCTGTTCTCACCAAGAGGAAAACTGAACATTACTTGGAATAGCTGAATAAGATATGTTTCAAGGAACCCTTTAATTCATGATCACCTTTAAAACTAGAAAGCGTATCTATAATATGCAGCTTTATTGATCTGAAGTTGACAATAAAAACTGAGTGTACTCTGGTAGCTTGTGTAGTTCACTATAAAATGTACACTAAGCAGTAAATACCTACAGATTTCTAAATCTATTGAGTCAGAGGGTTTTTTGTTTTCCCCAAAGGATGGTTTTTAAGGCCCATGTACACAAATATTCTAAAACAAAAGTTGTTCACAGGTTTGCTTCTGTATGTTATGCATTGCATGCAGGCAGATGAATCAAAGATAATTTTTTTTAAAGTAAAGCACACAAGATGAGGAAAAAATAATTTTTCATAGCCTTAATAGTAACTGTCATGTTCTGTTGGGCTAGAACTAAGTGAATTGGGCAAAGTGTGTAAATTTTACAAGCTCATCTTTATAGCAAATAGGGACAATTAGTCCTAAAACTCTCCACAAATGCACAGACCACATTGCTGTATCCTTTAGCTTTTATTTTTTCAAATTTCTCCAGAAGAGGGCCCCATGTACAGCTTAAAAGTCAACACCAATGTGCTAAAAGCAAAAGAAATTTATCAGCTTCAGGGGGAGGAAAAAAAAAAAAAAGAAAAATCTTGCTCACAAAGTCTGTTTAAACAGCATTAATTACTATGCTCAAATTCTGACCAGACTTTCCCTGTTGTATCTTGTTGGTGCTTGTTTAGTTTAAATAGGATTATAATCTCAGAATTCTAGAGGGAAAGAGTCCTATATCTCTTGTGCTATACCTGAGCTTTTAAAAAGATGCTTTAAAAATGTTAGAGAAACTTCATTGCCAATTACTGTGTAGAATTATTTGTGCTGATGAGCATTTTGTGAGCAGGCTCACACTTACTCCTGACAGCGTCAGGGCCTTTTTTTGGCTATGTAGTCAAACATCTTCCTCTTGCATACCTCATTCAAAAGATGGTGTCTCCCAAAACACAGAACCATTCCAGCAGTCCTGCTGTACTATTTGTCAAATATTGCCTTGAAGGGAAGCTTGGCCCCTGGTGAATTAGTCTGATGTTAGGCAACAGCTCTAACCTTTTAAAGACATTCTTACACAGGACCTGACCAGACTCTTTACTGCTAAGCAAGGGGGATTTGATGTAATAGGTGAGTGGAAACTAGTAATGAAAATGCTGTGAGTTACAGCATTGCAGTTAAACTTACTTTTTTTGTGTACTACCTGAGATACTATTTCTCTACTCCTGAGGTTGCTCGAGCAAAATGTTGGGACCTGGTTTCTCTTTCTGATAATCAAAAACTGCAAAAGGTTATTCTACCGTATATAACATACTTGTGCTATAATCCGTCGGGGCATGTTGACTTTATTCTTAGTAACTTGCCAAGTAAGAAAGGAGCATTTCTAAAAGACAGCTCAATAGACCAGAGCAACAGGAGCTTTTAGATCTATGTAGATAGTAACAGTGGCAAATATTCAAGAAGAGATGTTCTGTCTTTCATTTTCTTCCTGGTATTGGCTAGTTAAGTAGGCTCTCTCCATCCTTTTAGTATGTGAAGGCAAGCTAGATAACAGCTGTTAGTGTTACGCTCTTCCTGCATCACTGCTTGGAGCCACATCTCTTGCCTCTAGCTGCTGGTTTGTACCCGTGTACTGGGTGTGGGTTTGGCCTTTAAGCCTTTGGGGAGGAGGGGACTCTGTTTGGGACCTCAGGCAGAAACATGGGGCTAGTGGATGGTGCTGAGGCTTCAGTGGTTTCATGGAAATCACTTCTTCATTCTTTCTTTGACAGATGCTAACACCAAATATACTTTTTGTGTGTGTATCACTAGTAGTCTAACCAGTAGTCTTTCTTCTGTGTGGACAAAAAGACATTCTACCATGTCTGCTGGGGAGGAGAGACAGAGAAAGATAACGTCCTCAGAAGACCTAGGTGGCCAACAGATCTTCCCTGTTAGCTCTGGATGATATTTGTGGGTTCCTAATCACCATACAGATGGGACCAGCCCAGCTGGAAGACTGTGTTTTTGTGTCATTTTGTACGGCTTGCAGCTAGAACAGTGTTAGTGTATACAAATCAGTAGGATATTAAAAGCCAA